TTTTGGAACAATTTTCCATAATCTACAACATCCTAAAAGCTTATCTTTGTAGAATTTGGTGCACACATTAAGTCGATTTATGCCTTGTCATTTTTGTACTTTCTCAACTAAAAAAGGTCTGTGTTGTATGAACGGTGACTMCTCTGTGTATCCTGCTGGTCATTTAGCTTTTATATTGCTGAGCTAATCCGAAAAACAACAACTGCAGACAATCAAATCAGTGTCTACGACAGTTCACTATTTTTCAGGGTAGATACACGAATACCTCAGCCTGAATGCACAGAATAGGAACTTTTAGTTAGGTTTTTTTTTTTGTTTGTTTGTTTCTCCTAATTCCTCTACTTTTCTCTAACTGGCGTGGCATTCAAAACTATTTCTGTCCCCGTGTTTTTCTYTCACCACATCACCTTTACTGGTACTGGTTCCTAAACAGCAGGGCTTTTGCCTCAGATGGAATCTAGCTTCATTGCACAYAGAAGCCTGGAGGAGACAATAGATGCTAATTTGCTAATGACATTACTGTGGAGGTTATTAAAGCGCCAGCAGAGAGGCAGGAGGCACCTTCTTCAGGGAAAGCTGCTCAATTGCTTCCAACCTGGACTCAACAGCAGTGCAATATTGTAGAGAAGAGATGTTAATGCCAYGGTTCTGTCCTAAGGGAAGTGCCTCTTTTAGGAGCAATCACAATAATGATCTCTCTAGTTGCCCATGGGCTAATCTGTTGGATTTTATTAACACCACCACACAGACATACATGCTCAAAACACCAACAAAGGTTGCTGTGACAACTATGACGGTCACCATGGTGCTGAGATAATGACTTTTGGTGATATGGCACTGCAGCCTTCTTCTTACCTTTGTCACTTCWGGGTGCAACAAATAAAAGAGTTTCCACGCAGAGACGGCAACGAGTTTGGACATTTCAGCCATAGTATTTCTTAATAAAACTGAATGGATAAGTAAACTGAATACTCTTTATTCATCTGTTCAGTCTGCTACCTTGAACCCTTTAGACACCCCAATATTCAGTTTGTATGCTTTGCCCTGTAACAGCTGTGGCTAATAATTTTATTTTACAAATGGAAACATATATTCAGCCTTTTTCCTCTTTGTCCTTGGTCGCTAATAACTTAGAGAATGGTTAAATTGGCTCATTCACAAACAGTTTTCCATTTTCCGTTCAATTACTGAAAGATGCTCCCTCCAGTTCATCTATATACTTACACTCTTTCACCAATGAATCAACATAAGTTTTGCCTCAAATTTGGTACATCTCTTCATCTGTTCGCTGATAGAAGGCTCTTTCTTCTGCTTTTATGTTGATATTGATCAGCAGTGCCATCTTCTATCGATCCTTCCACTACAATACCACGTTTGATGGATTGATTGGCAGCCTGCAGCAAGAGACCAWTTTGTCAGGGAGCATTGGACCTTGTCAAAGAAGACCAATATGCCCCAATCATGGATGGCCTACATTCCCAGGGGTTGTTTGGTAGCGAGGGTATAAGCGCTGTAGACTATTCACGGTTGGCTTGTGAGGCCATGGCATGTGCAAAAGCGAGTTTGTGTCTTGATTCCCTCGTGAATAGAGCAAGTCTGATGAAAGCCCACTTTAAAACTTAGATCACAGGTGATTTTGCCAAGCTGCCTTTCAATTTGCTTTTAATTTGAGTTTTTATTCTAGGTAGGCAGTCGACTATCAAATAAACATATTTGCCTTGTTTTTCCCCCCTCTCTTTTGTACCACCAGTTATATCTTCCAAATGGCTGTGATTCAGCTGCTGCACATGATGATTTGTGCCCCCAGTAATTATACCTTCCTTGTGCTGTGAGAGAGAAAGAGAATGGGGGGGAACTGTTGTTATTCTTAAATCTCCACTCGATGCTGGCTTAATCATCGACTGCCTTGTCTTTGGATTGGCTGTAATTGAAACATTARCTGTTCAGGTCTATATACAGCATGTGGGTGGCTCGTTTGCACCCTATGGCTGAATTTTTAATCATAAACCTTGATCACAATCTGATGCTGCTTCTACATAATGCACTCCTTTTTTTCTTGCTTTGTAATCCTTTTATGTCGCCTTATCTTGACCTTTTTTATCGTCCACCTGTRTTTGTGCTGGTCATTTGAGATACATTACTCTCATGAGTATTGGAAAGTCAATTGCAGCATTGCTGTGATAACATGGGATCCATTAGCCACTACTATTGACTGTCTTTAAGTGATCTCCACAGCCAGCAACTCCTGTACTCACTAGCAATGCCGTCTACTTTTCAACTCCAGTCCCATGCTTTAGCTACAAGCAACCAAAAGGAAGCATTYACTCAAATGTATTGACCACTTTCATGAATATTTCATTGGCTGCTCAAGGCAATAGGCTGCCAACTTGGTGGGTTGAGAAAACGAGGCTTGCATTTGATGCTGCTGACCACCCGTTCCTCAATGGGATAACACTGCATTTTAAAGGTTTATTTGCTTGARCCCTTTAAACACCTGGGTGATACTGTACTTTAGGGGTCCTATCYACTTCTCCATACTACTGACTCACCCAACATTAGACGATATGCCTGAAGCCTTTTTTGGGTCTGTTGTCCTTGGCAACAACTTGAGAGCTTACTTTTCCTTTTTCCTCTCTGCTACTATATGCKTCTCAGACTCTTTCTCTCTACTGTTTAATCTATGCAATTACCTCGGAGCAGAGGGTTGAGCAAACTTGTTGATTTTTTTTTTTCACAGGCAAAAGTTCATCTTTGTCGATGTTTATCTCAAGAGACAACACACCTCCCAAAGCTACATTCCACCAGTCCTTCGTCAGCAACTCCCCCATGTTTTACGCTTAAATACACATCACAGCCTTCCCTTTCACCAACTCCACTGTCAATATAAAGACCTGACAGTCTGAACATCAGTTTCTGACTCATCTGTTGTTAATTCACTGACCCACTCCAGTCTTGTTGAAGAGAATTTAAAATGCACGCACAAAGAAATCTTTTGTCCTCAGAATAATAATGGCACATCACTCCAGTATTAAATACTTTTTTTTTCTTATTGCCAAATCAGAATTTAAAAGTTTATTGCTAAATAGACCATAAAKGGACAAAGTAAAGCTTGTGCAGCTTTTGTCAGAATCACAGGATTCATACTTATTCTTTATGTTGAACAACAGGCCTCTTCTTTTAGTTTGTGTTGTGTTCATGTTGCAGTAACATCAGAAAAGTTAGTGTTGTAAGTGGCTATAAGTTGTACGAATTAGTGAGACATTCCGTTCTTTTAACCAGAAAACAAAAAGACCCAGAATGGCCTGTCACTACTACTGAATGAATGGTGTAGTAAGTTCCTCAGATTGTCTCTGCAGGAACCCTGCAGCCCAAGAAATAAAACTTGACTCCCTAAAGTGAKTACTAGTAGTAACAAGGCTTCTGACACATTCTAGGTTTCCCGACCAACCGCTCTCACATCACCTAACAAACTTGCCTCTCAGTCCTCTTTATGGATAGTTTTTTTTTCCTATACGGGTCACTCCACTGCTTAAATTAGACTCTAGTCTGGGATCAGCTACCCACTGAATGTGTSTATGCATGTCACTGACTGCCTCCATCCAAAAATGTGAGGTCCCGGCATTCTGCTGCGAGAGCTTGACAAGAGTTAATGTCAAGCCGTGTGATGTGCAGTTTGTCTGTTACCCACAGTTCAGGCTTGATCCTCAAATCGTAAACTCTAGTGCAGTGTGACTCTCTCACACTAGATTTTTCCCTTGAATAATATCTACAAAACCAACTGTGTGTTCTTAAGCTATGTTAAGTGCATGTTAGTGTTGGCAATACACAGCAAATTGTCATGCGCATTGGTGAACCAAACCTTCTTGATGGTGTCACTTCTCAGGCTATATAGCCTCAACAAAAATGGCAGTATCTCCTGAAAATTTTATAGTAACAATAAAAATGCATGTATAGAAATAAAATATTACAAGAAGCARATTTATTGTTACAAACAGATGAGACATTTACCATCTTTCATTTTGTATGACCTACTGTGAATGATGACTGAATAAACACCTGGATATAACTAGAGGCAGGTACAGAAGTCAAGAATTGAAACCACAAAAGATGAAAGCCCCAAGTAGGCTGGCTGCAGAACAATTTCACGCCTGGCTTTTCCACATAATAATAATAATAATAATAATAATAATAATAATAATAATAATAATAATAATAATAATAATAATAATAATAATAATAATAATAATAATAATAATAATAATAAATTACACTTCAGATAATACTTTTTTTGGTGCCAATTTTTTGTTGATGTATGTAGCTGTTACCTTGCTGCTGTATGTTCAAATATTCACATTACACTGTCATTGACAATGTGACAGCCAAGATAGTGAGCTAGGAGGATGAGTAGGTAAGACTTTCTATCAAGAGTTCAACCCACAAGGCCCTGCTGCACAGACTCCTGTCTCCAAAAATCCAACACGACAGTTCTCAAAAATCAACTTTTTCCCCTTCGGTTCTGAACAAGAGAAGGCATAGAGGCTTCCTCCACCATTTTTTTTTTACATTTTAATATTAATGTCTGTGAGTATAAATCTGTTGCTACATGGACATTGCAGTAAAAACCTTTAGACTGTTACATCACAGATCAAACATATGTATTAAAGTAATCTAGGTTATGTTTTCCATGGAAATCTGTGGTAAAAGTACATTACTGTGTAATAAATGTGATTTAATATTTATTTAGCTAATGTCACCAAAAATCTTAAATAATGTTAAAGTTGGATTAAAATAACCAATGGCTCAAACTTTTTTTAACAAATTAACAAATTTATAACTAAATCTGATTAATTTAGTCTGTTTGTTTCATTGAAAAGAATGTGACTTCTAACTGCTGACGGTGTGTTTTCAGTGTTTGTTGTCATGTTATTTATAACTCTTGACCTTAGATGACCCTCTTGCCAATGTTTTTATTTTCCCCCTGTTTGTTTCTGTCTTCACAGGAGCTGCAGGAAGTCTGGCTCAACTACCCACCACACCCCCTGCAGGTTGGTTGACATGTCTTTTGTTACTGATGTTTATTTTGTCTGGGTTGCCTCTCATTAAAAACTCTCCTCATCCACCAGGACACAGAGTTATTTTTCCGTCTTTGAAGCTTTCTGGCCTGACTGTGTGTTAGTTTGTTGTGAGTTGTGTGTTGCTAACAGAGGTGGGAAAAGCTGTCTGTTATTTTTTTCTGCTGAGGCTGACTTACTTTTTTGTAACTGTCACAAGCCTTATTGTGCTGCTCTCCACTTTGGTCAAGACCCTAATCCGCTTTTTGATTTACTCCCCCACTCCATTTCTTCAGCAGCGTTTTGCTCTTCTTTTTTTTTTTTTTTTCTCCAACGTCTTTTCTTTTTATCCACTCTTTGTGTCTTCACTTTCTTGCCTGCTCTTTGGGTTCCATGATCTACCCAGAAACACTGAACATGTCAACAGTGTTTGTTTGAAATTTGGATTTGGTAGAAGAGATCAAAGATGCCATAACAGGATTATGGTCCCAAATCACATGGGTGGTCTCCAGGGACCGCCAGGCATTTTTTTTTTCTCTGATGTGTTTCTGGAGAGGAAAGTGTTTCTTTGTTTCAGTTTTTTTGCATCTTAATGCATATGCACGAGTGTTGCAGCATTTTTTTTTCATTTGTATGTTTTTCCTTGTCTGGACTAAAAAAGCACTCTGTTTGTGTACATTTGTGTGYTCATCTATGCCGCCTTATCCCTCTATTTGTCATCCCCAAATGTTGAAGATCCACAGAGAGCTGAGGTGTTTTTGTTGAGTTTGTAAGAGCTCAGGATAAACTGRCTGTTTTCCTGGTGTGTTCCACTGCTGAGGCCGGCACGGGCCTCAGTGGTGGGTACATGAACAGAGTGGAGGCCTGGGGTCTGCACCACAATCTGCAGCAGACTCTGGTAGGAGTTCTACCTCCGTTARCYYCATCTGAGCTGCAGGTTCATTATCAAMCACCACAGTTTTCTCTWGGGRTTCCCTGTCGGTGGGCTGTTAAACTKTACCAGCCTCGCTTGATAACATCCTAATGTTTTGGCATGGGATGATATATGATGTCATTTACAGTACTGTGCAAAAGTCTTAAGCCTACTTTTTCCCAGCAGTCAGGACTTAACTTTTAAARTTTACTGAAGGTCTTGGAAAGCTTTGCCTTTGGCWACTTTTGCCTCTTATTTAGTTCTTCTACCTGGCTAAGACAGCTTATTGCAGAGCTTTTGTATAAAAAATGAGAAAACTAAATAGGTCTAGGACTAAAGAAGTGTTAAAACTAAATAAGAAAAATAATCTACAGCAGATGATCAAGAAAATTGTGTTTTTTTGGAAATAGGAAAAAWAATCTATGAAAGACCTGGCCTAAAACTGAGGTTCGAGCCCCTACTGTGGGTCGTAAAATACTACATTTAGGCRTCTTGAAATGCTTTATAAAGATATAGTGAACTGCATAAATGTTTGTCTATACTATATTTAGCCTTAGTGGTTACAAATAAATATCCATATAATTAAAACAATTAAAAATATAATTTTTAAATGGTTACATATCAAATAGTTGTATAATAGTTGCTGTCAAGTGCCAAGTCCCAGCAAAGTCTCAGTGCTCTGTACAAAGAACAGTCAATCTAAGAAAGCCAGCAGATTGCATTGTATCTTAACTTCATCACAGTCTCCCATCCTGAGCAGCACATTGGTTACAGTGGAAAGGGAAAACTTTTAACAGGAAGAAACCTCCAGCAGAACCAGGCTCAGGACAGGTGGCCATCTGCCTCGACCCGRTGGGTTTAAGGGACAGGAAARAGATGCAAACACAGACTGGTCCAGGTGTATTTTCCTCTGAAAGAGTGACAAAGAAAACACGTTATTGATATAAATAATTACGACACATAAAGGAGAGTGAGTAAGGACAGCAGTAGAGTGAATGAATGTTTTCCAGCAGTCTAAGTCTAAAGCAGCAGAACTAATGATTAACTAAGGAATAACTCATAGAACCTAAGCCTAATTATATGATTTATCAAAAAGGAAAGTTAAGTCTAGTCTTAAAAGTAGACAGAGTGTCAGCCTCATGGATAGAAATCGGAAGTTGGTTCCAGAAGAACCAACCTGATAACTGAAAGCTCTGCTTCCAGTTCTATGTTTAGAAGCTCTAGGAACCACAAGTAAACCTGCAGTCTGAGAGCGAAGTGCTCTGTTAGAAAAATATAATACAATAAGATCTTTAATATAAGATATAGCTTGGTTGTTGAAAGAACTTGTATGTTAGAAATAAGATTTTAAATTCTATTCTGAGGAAGCCAACTCTAGCAGCAGCATTTTGGATCAGCTGAAGAATTTTGAAAGAGTTTTTAGACACCCAAATTATAAAGAATTACAATAGTCTAGCCTAGACGTAATAAATGCATGTATCACTTTTTCGGCATCGTTTTTGGACAAGATGTTTCTACACTGCAAAAAATGTCCATCTTACCAAGTTTTAAAATCTTATATCCAGCCAAAAAGTCTTTTTGATCTCGTTTTGAGACTGATTTACTAAACAGGAACTGATTGTGTAAGAATAATAACCTTATTTTCAGAATGTGTAAGATTATTTGTCTTGTTTGCCTGAGAAATTGACTCAAATTGGTAAGTAAAAAATGCCAATGGAGTAAGAAAATTTTACTTGGTAAGATTCTTGAAATGAGAAAAATTTAGTCAAATCAAGTATTTCAGGAATCTTACCAAGTACAATTTTCTTACTCCATTGGCAGAAGTTTTTGACTTAAATTGAGTCCGATTTTCAGGCTAACAAGACAAATAATCTTACATATTCTGAAAACTAGATTATTATTCTTACACAATCAGTTCTTGTTTAGTAAATCAGTCTAAAAACAAGATCAAAAAGACTTTTTGGCTGGATATAAGATTTTAAAACTTGGTTGGGTGGACATTATTTGCAGTGTAATTTTAGTGATATTACACCGGTGGAAGAATGTTCCATACAATTTCATATCAATTTAGTTCCTTGCCGAGTTGCTATGTGGATTGGTATGCAATTTTGGTTCATACCTTGACTTGAAGTGTTTTTATGTTGGAATGATTCAGCGGTCAGAACTAGGCAGCCTAACAAACAATAAAAAACAACAACATTTATTTTAAAATAATCAGAAACTGGGTAAAAAAGCTACCAAAATCTAAAGAACAACTTTGAAAGACATTTCAAAAATATCAAAAATTGATTGATGAAGACCACTTTAAAAAAGATTAGGAGAAAGTAATGCAATTTGGAAGCAAAAGAAAAAGAAACAGTGGAGACTTTTGCAAATCCGTCGAAGGCCCTCAAGAGTTTGAACACTAAGCCCAAAATTATTGCTGAAAGGAAACAAGGTGTAACCTAATTCCCTTCCCCACCAACAAGAGGAAGATGAAGTAAAAAAAAGGAGCTACCCTAATGAGGTTTGAGCTAACGGCAATGGCAGCTCGCCATGATATGTGTAATTATGCGTGCACAAATTTTTGGCATACATTAGTCTTGCCACCGACTTGCCCTACAGAGGGATGTGGAGTGCCTCGTGGTTTACAGGCTTCTCTTTCTGTTTTTCCTTGATTTTTTTTTCACCAGCACATCACCACCATCACCCTTCTCCCTCCAGCTCTCCAGGATAATTTAGCAGAATGCCGTTTACGTTGAGTGTGGATTACAAAATTTCTCCTTTAGTTTATCAGGGAGGTACACGAGTGTCAAGCTTGTTGGGCCTCAGCTCTGATTCTGCTTTCGGTCTGGACTGAGCTGAAAGTGATGCTTTGAAGACATTTCAAACATGTAATTTTTTTTTTTTCATGGCTTCTGTTGATTTTTTTCCCCCTCTCTCTTCACTTCGTTTGAATTTTTTTTTTTTTTTTCATGGCTTCTGTTGATTTTTTTCCCCCTCTCTCTTCACTTCGTTTGAAGCCTTGCTGCTGGCCATTCCTCCTGAAGGATCACTCGCTCCTGTGAGTGCTGAACTCGTCAGATGTTGTTAGTCATGATTCATGACATTTAAACGCCTTCCGTTAATTAAGAGAGGAAAGAAAAAGGCAGGAATGAAATATTTCTTATTACATACTGGAAGATGGAGCCATGACATTACCGGCAGCGCTCCAATTAAAATACTGAGTTTAAAAATACATCTCTGCACCGTGCGCTGACTTGACATGGGAGACTTTGAAAAATGTGTTTACCAGTCGTTGCTTCGTGGGAGCTCAGACAAAAGAAATGCTGGGAAAATAAAGGGAAGTGCCCATCTTCCCCTCCAGTAGCCTTGAGTTTGGTCATGTTTTCTGAGCACTGTACACCAAACAGCACCATAGAGCAGTCTTAACAAGGTCAGTCGAATGTGTTCCATTTCTYTTTGAATGTCCTTGTGAAATCACAAGTCTCAATGTTTGCATATTTTTTGTTGAAAAGGTGTCTTGGTCAAGCTAGTATTGGCACCACACGGAGACCAATTAGATGACTCCAGCAGCTTAATTAATGCACCCATAAGCATATCTCTTGATTTAACAAACWTGCACACACTTATTTTCTTAGCACAACACTTCCTTTTCTAATGAGCACAGTCCTGAGCAAATATTGTGGTTAAACTGAGCAGCCGAACCCATCTACCTTTGAACTCTCCGCCTTTCCTCCTGCTAATGTTTAAAGATTATACTGGTGTTTTATCAAATGTGAAAATGAAGAAAGAAAGAAACGTTCTTTTAAAACTCGCAGTGTTAGTCATCTCAGATGTGGTCTACTAATAAACAAGCAAAGAAAAACTTACAGTACTCCTGAGTCACCAGAGATATGAACCGTCTGCAGAAATGCCAGCTTTAGAACGAGGTAGAAAAGAAGCCRTTTGACTTAAAAGTTAATGACGGAGAGATTCCATCTGCTGCAGATCACTGTGAGTTTGTTTTACAGTCGGAGTAAAAATACACACTCTAAACAGGCCCTCGAGCGGAACAAACTGCAGAGATTTTCCTTTCTGAAACTTGTGCTGAACGACTTCACTGAGTGTTCTTGTTTTTCYTTTTTTAGCAATCTCACAAGTTTTAAGAGGAAACATTTGTTCATCAGGGCTCGGTGATGTATTTTGCCAAAATACTGCATCATCCAGTTTGCAAAGTTTGAATGAGAAGTGGAAAATCTCAAAAACACTTCAACTTGAAAATGGTGTTATAAGTTTGAAAAAGAACTTAAAATTATTGCATAGATTGTTAGTAGATGGCTGTGAGAAAACTCACAACGGCTCTATTTACCATAACCACTTGTTAATTTGCCTGATTTTGGTTCTGCCCCAGAACATTGACTATGACCAGATTCTGCTGACCTGACCCTCATCAATTGTCCAACATTGTGCTTCTAAACCTGCATTGTGTTTTTATTTTTTGGTTTTTTTTTTCCTTTTAGGTGCAAGAACCTCAGACAGACAGGCAGCTGATTGAAACGTCTCCGGTGCTTCAGAAGTTGACCAGCTTCGAGGAGTCGATCGGCGTTTTGTTCACACATGTGCGCCTGCTGGCCAGAGCGTTCACCTTGAGGACTGTAGGCTTCAACCATCTCACTCTGTGAGTACTGTTGCTGCAACTGTGTCACTAAATGAGTTGCAGCCAGAAGGATGCTGTGGTCGGTCTGCATTAAGGTTGGGAGGTCATATTGTAATACCATATAACAAGGTGCGACGATACAGTAGCTGTGTTTCCATTGCAAATGTGCGCAAAACTTTGTCGATATTCTGTTAATGTCGAAAAAAGCACAGTTTCACAATTGCAGTGTTTTATTTAAGTAAGAAATGCTATTAAAATCATGCATGAATCTGTTTGTTTTCGCAATAAGTCATTACAAACATGGCGGCAACGGATGTAAACACTTACATGAGATATATTCATATTGTTACWACGGCACTAGCGCTCATCATCAGCCATTAGAGGAGACGTTGGCGTCTTATCGAAGCTTTCGAGCGACAAGCCMCTTATACTTGGACTTGAACTAAATGTAGAAAATACTCGGTCTCCTGGTGAATCCAAACATGCTGCACCATCATCATCCTGCTACTTCCTGCAGTCTTTTTCGTCGTCGTCTTTTTTGCCAGTAGAAACATCTGGTTGTTGATCACATGACTTCTGTGATGCAAAAGAAGTTTTGCAGTTTTGCAAAATACACCAATTTCAAAATGGCCAAAAAACACCATWTCCTAACGCAACACCATTTTCACGAAAAACATATTTTTCTTTTCAAAATTGGCATGTTTCCATTAGGCAAATTCATTTTCACAACAATTCTAATTTGCACAATTTTATTGTCAATGGAAACATGACTAGTGTTGYAGATGTTTTGGACTAGTACAGTTGGGCAGCACAGTAGATCAGTGGTTAACACTGTTGCCTCATAGCAAGGTCTCAGGTTCAGTCCCCTATTTGAACCTGGGGTCTTTCCATGTGGAGTTTGCATGTTCTCCTCCTGTTCACATGGGTTTTCTACAGGTACTTCGGTTTCCTCTCCCAATCCAAAATACATCCATGTTAGGCTGCCTTCAGGCCCAGRCCTCCCTTGCAAAATATATCTTTGATCTCAATGGGATTTGCCTGGTTAAATTAAGGTAAATAAAAAAGTAAACTGATTATGAATAATTAAGTCACACATGATCAACATTCCCAAAGTGGGAGCAGGCTTTATTTGACAGCATCTTGCTTACAGCCCCAACAGAAAAGAAGCAAAGAAAGACATAATCYAAACACTTTACAGCAAGCACAGCATGGCTGGTTCAGATGAACAGGCAGAAGCAAACACCTGCCTGTTTAATTCAAATCAGCTGGGTGAAAAAGGAGGTGCGCAGTGCTGCCGTTCATGGGCAGCTGCAAAAAGGAGAGACCAAAAGGTGCATGATTGGCAAGCAGTTATATAATTTAAATAATGTGTTAAAAAGTACTGTGGTAAGTCATTAGTCAAATAGGCACACAGTCAGTGTGCCTATTTAATACCCGTCATATCATTCCTATTTTCTAATGATTTTATGTTAGATCCTCTCACTAACAAGGGTTTTTTTCTAATACTGGGAGAGTTGTTTGATTAAAAAAGGGACAATTTGACTTTTTTTAATACTGTAACAAATGTGACCCTCATACCAAGGCATGTACCGTTCTGTGATATACTGGTATTTAAAAAAAAGTGTTGGATCTCTAATCTAAGAAAATATAAAAAAGTACCTTAGATGCCATTAAAATGGCCTAAATTACAGATGAGAAGTCATTCTTGGCAGATGAGGTAAAGTAAAATTGGTAAACTGGATGCTGCCCAACTTTAGTCTGTTTCTGTTGTTCCCATCAAATGAGATSAAACCTGTTTTATACAAACAAAGTTGAACCTGTCGTGAATGCGGCAGCCTCCTCCTCCCTTTTAATCATTATGCTTACTTCTTGGAGCGTTTCACGAATATAAGAAAGAAAAAGACTCAAGTGGCTGCTAAGTCTTTATGTCTGTGAGGCCATAACCTCACTGCCCCATGGGAAATGCAGTTTTAAATCACAGAATTGTCCAGAGCTAAAGGGTTTTCTTTTCCTTCATTTCAGCCACATTTCTCATTAGTCAGATAAGTATGTTCTCTCACTGTCATGCTTCAGTCCACCCAGTGATTTTTTAGAGTCTTGCTTTAAATCATTCTTTTTGATGCAGATTTAATTAAGGCTAGATTCACTATACATATGATAACTCTGTGTGTTCTGTGTAGAGAGATACACATGTGGTTTCTGGTCTGTTTTTCTCTGTTAATTGCAGCATTTCACAGCAGTGTAACAGTGCTCACTTTTATTTTATTTTATTTTATTTTATTTTTCCCCACATCCTCACCATTCCTTCCTCTGTTATGACGTTTGTTCAATAGTCAGGAAAGTTGCAAACTTCTACAGGGGTAACTTAGAATTGATTGAGGAAAAAGTAGTAACAAAAATGCTGTTGTTGTACAGCTACTCTCTTTTAATAATAGTGATGCAGTTAAAAAAAAGATTGCAATTTTCATTAATCCAYGCTACAGCTAATGAGTCTTGTCTTCCCAGTTCGAAGTGTGTGTTTAATTCAGACCATGAGACAGTTATTTGCAATCGAAGCTTAACTCACTTCTGAGCTTTCCAACTCAACACAATAGTGAGTTTGACAGCTAAAGCAAATTAGCCCTGGCAGTGCACGTTTGATATCTTATTGGCAGGTTGCGCTCTGTAATTGCTTGCTTAGGTTTGCCACAAGGACACTGCTCGGTGTTCGAGTGTGTATCGAGCACGCACACACACACACAGTCCTGAGCTCGCTCTAATCCATCACTTAAATGTCAAACCTCTCCCCACTCGGGGTCAGTCAAGTTGATTAGAGGTCCAGAGGTTTGTCTCCTACTGAGCTTTACTTTTGAAGACTTTCCAACTCAAGGTTGAAACCAGTATTTTTCCAACTTGGCCACCATGAGGTGAAAGTTTAAACCAATGAATTTTATATTTTGCTGAATTTTATTGTTACTTTTCCTGGAGCGATAAAATAAAATTTGAGGGAATGAATTTTATATTTATAAGGTAATTTATGTTCATTAGCTCKTTAGTAGCCAAAGGCACGTTGACCTAAATACAGCCGACTGACTCGATAGCTGGAGCTGAGAAATGGCCGCCCACGAGGACCAAAGGTTAGACCAAAGTAGGCCACATTGTCATGATCGAGTGAAGAACGAGGTCAGATGATGGGAAAGAAAGTAAGACGATAAAGAAGGAGGCGAAGACAGGACGATGCTTGGCCTTTTGGCCTTTCACTTTGAGAAGAAATAAGAGGACAAACTGACCTAGATGATGAAGAAGCACGAGATGAGTCGTGGCCATGGAGGGAAACCAGCAGATGGCAGGAATGGAGCTCTACTTTTTGTTTGCAGAAGAAGACAAGACTTTCACTGCCAGTGAGAAAAGATCAATCGATCCTCCTGTGCAGCATTTGAATCATTCATTGATGCCATTTTATGTTATCAAAGAGATTCAGAATGTTGAAATGAATCATTAAATGAAAGTAAAGAAATGCTTCTTGGGTTGAAGCATGTCAATAATTTTATTGCACTTTTGCTGTTTGCTTCATAGAAACAAATCTCTGGGAGCTGTAGAGAGAATAAATATAAAGAAACCAATCTAATGGCATATTTCAGCACCACCTGAGAGATGAATTTACCAGAGTTTATCATTTAAAAGCTTGTTTATTATACAGTTTTATCAGCCTARCTCTTTTAAACTAGAGCAGCCACTATAAAGGCAATAGGTGTGATTCAAATTAGCCATAAAAATAACAAAGTCAAAGCAATATGTTTTCATCACTGTGTAACCAGCAGATTCAATAAATGCACTTGTTTAAAAACTCTTTCAAAGAGCACTTTGAGCCAAAAGTAGTTGCAGGTCACTTAGTTGAGCATTTGAGCAGTTCATATGTGTTCGTATGCAACTGGAACATCGTTTTTTCAAGAACCAAGAGGTAAATGGTTTTAAAATGAAAATGGAGCACACTTGTCTTTTGGAGCCGACAGCCTCTTGCCGCCTGCTCAGAAGTGCTGTTAAAGGTATTTTAGATCAAATTCAAAGGTGAATAAAGACCTCGGCTCCACACTTTACTTCAATTTCCCCCACCTTTCTGGAGCATTGTAGCTCTGCTGCTGGAGTGAATAACGGATGCCTCTTTTGTGCCGCCTCACACATTCGTCTTTGACCCGTTCTATCTCTTCTTTTTCTCCTCCATCTTTCCCCGTTATTCGTTTCCTTTCTCGCTGTCACCCCCGCTGTTTCCTCTCTGCCGCTGCCTCCYGTTAGAAGTGAAATTAGCCCACTCTACACCTTTTCGCTTCAACTCCGCTCAGCTTATTTCCTTCCTCATTTTTTTTCCGCTGTCAAGCTGTAGATTTTTGAAGAAATCAGGTGTTCAGATATACAGTCAAAAGGTGGGGGGATGATTTCTCTCGAGCCTCCTTCGTCCTAAATTCAGCCCTGCACGCTCTCATAAGCTGTGGCAGAGCCTTTTCTTTAAGAAGTCCTCTAATATTTTTATATGGTTATCAGGCAGTGTCCCTTCTTTCCCTGATGAATCTATGTCCTGCATGTCTAAGRCAGTAAAAAAATCAAGATGAATCTTATTTTTTGCCTCTTTTTAAGCTCATCTGAAGTTAAAAAATGAAAAGTAATTTACTTTTACTTACTTAAATCTTAAAAGATGATCTGAGTCAGCAGTTAACCCTTCCAGATAAAAAAACACAATTTTCTAGTGATTATTGAATAAACAAGTAATAATTTCGAATTGTCAGTTTCTCTGACCTTGTACAGACAATTTTTTTAAATGTTCAGGATTTATCATTCTTTCAAAGTTAGAGAAGTGTTTAATTGTTTAATAAAGTTTTCAACAGCTTGAACCATGTTCAACAAATGAAACATCTTTAACAACCACTTTGAACAATTTGCCCATTTAGATTTGAAAAAAAAACATAATTTTGATAGTTTTATATCGACAAGCTTTGCTTTGGCATAAATACTCCAAGAGTTGTTTTAAATTAAAAAGGAAAAGGTTA